ACGCCCAACTGCGCTCTATGTACTACCATACAGTGCATGAACCCGGCAAGGGGCTGGAGATTGAAACACACAAAGACTCACAGAGACATGGGTCATCCTTGAAACAGGAATGTCCCAAGAATGTCCCCTTTATTATTGTGTACCAGAACCGCTTATATAGAGATCCTTAACTGATAGCCACGCGCCAGCCAAACGCACCAGAAACCATTTTCCTGCCACCCGGAACTTCTGAGGGTCTTGTGCTCAGAGTAGCTGCAGGCTGTCTCAGAGCAGAAGAAAACAAGTTGTTTACAAGAAATTCAGGATCTGGGAGTTCACAGCTCCCAACACAGGGCTAGGATAACAATGCAGTCCAACTGTAACCCAGGGCCGGGGCGGCAGTGCAGTTCAACTGGAACCCAGGGCCGGGAAGCATCAACAGGGGAAGCCAGGGTGTTGAAGATCAGTTAGAAGAGACAAGTGGTGAGCATCAGGTTTAGTGAAAGACCCAGGCTCAGAAACACGAGAGGGTGGAGACTAAAGAGATGGCTGCTCCTCCAGAGGACCGGAATTCGATTCTTGGCAACTGTACAGTGCTTTACAATTATCTGTAACTCCACTGCAGAGGATCTGATGCCTTCTTCGACCTTGGAGGGCACCAAGCATCTAAGTGGTGTACATACATATACACAGGCAAAACATGCATACATATAAATTAAAATAAGTGATTCTAAAAGGAATTAAAAGTTAAAAAATAAGATGATAACCAATTGAGGAAAACACCAACTTTGACCTCTGATCTCCACCCATGTACATGCCTCCCACATAAAAGATTTAAGTGGAAAAATAACGAAATGCCAAATATATTCAAAGGTAAGAACAGCAGGAAAAACTCTACTTGTAAGAATTGGTTAATAATGCATTCTACTAAAATTAACATTAATGGCATATGAAATGAATTAGTGAAACAGAAGAGAAAACGCTGTGATAGACACTAGCTCATGGGAAATTTTAACGTGAGGTGGTAAAAATAATGACTTAATTACTGCATAAACTAATATAATGGGAAAAGAGTGAAACTGGATCACTGAGTCTCATATGACATAAAAATATATTAAATGAAAGGATCCCAAAAAAACTGTGTAATCTGTGTAATGTCTTAATCAAAACTAACCAGAAACAATAAAAAAATCCACCATTTGGTTATACCATAATACAAACCTGTGATATGGTGATATCATAAAAAAATTTTAAATTACTTTATGAAAACTGAATATATAAACATAATATAAAAATATACTAAACCTGTACTGTTCAAACTGCTCATTAAAATTATTTATAGGAGGCTGGGAGGGGGGACACTCATTTTAAACCCAGCATTCAGGAAGCAGAGGCAGGCAGATCTGAGTTCCAGGTCAGTCAGGGCCACACAGTGAATTCAACCTTGTCTTAAAAACAAACAAAATGAGGAAGAGGAGCTGGGACTTTTGTACACACCTAGAATCTCAGCAGTCAGGGCTGAGGCAAGAGGGCATAAGTTCCAGGTCAGCCTGACTCTAGCAAAACAAACTGCTACCAAGAGAACCACTAGTAAGTCAGCTTTAAATAAATAGGAACCAACAGACAAAAGGAAAACAATTGATCACTGGTATATATTACAGTCTTTTGGGCTGGCGAGATGGCTCAGAGGGTAAAGGACCTGCTTTCAAGCCAGATTGCTTGAGTTTTAGCCCCAACACCCACAGGGCAGAAGGACAGAACCAAGTCCAGTCAGCTGACTTCTGAATCCACATGTGCACTGTGGAACACAAATGAAGCCCCCCATATGCACATATAAAGATTGCAATTTTTAAATTTTGTATTTTTTTCTGATTTCAGTCAGAAAATTAGTGCTACTGAACGTATGGCCCCTCTCTTTCTGTCCCAGCGTTCACCCCTCTATCTACTGGACATATGGCCCCTCTCTTTCTGTCCCAGCGCTCACCCCTCTATCTACTGGACATATGGCCCCTCTCTTTCTGTCCCAGTGCTCACCCCTCTATCTATTGGATGCATGGTCCCTCTCTTTCTGTCCCAGCGCTCACCCCTCTATCTACTGGACATATGGCCCCTCTCTTTCTGTCCCAGCGCTCACCCCTCTATCTATTGGACATATGGCCCCTCTCTTTCTGTCCCAGCGCTCACCCCTCTATCTACTGGACGCATGGCCCCTCTCTTTCTGTCCCAGCGCTCACCCCTCTTTATCTACTGGACGCATGGTCCCTCTCTTTCTGTCCCAGCGCTCACCCCTCTATCTACTGGACGCATGGTCCCTCTCTTTCTGTCCCAGCGCTCACCCCTCTTATCTACTGGATGCATGGTCCCTCTCTTTCTGTCCCAGCGCTCACCCCTCTATCTACTGGACGTATGGCCCCTCTCTTTCTGTCCCAGGGCTCACCCCTCTATCTACTGGACGTATGGCCCCTCTCTTTCTGTCCCAGCGCTCACCCCTCTTTATCTACTGGACGCATGGTCCCTCTCTTTATGTCCCAGCGCTCACCCCTCTATCTACTGGACGCATGGTCCCTCTCTTTCTGTCCCAGCGCTCACCCCTCTATCTACTGGACGCATGGCCCCTCTCTTTCTGTCCCAGCGCTCACCCCTCTTTATCTACTGGACGTATGGCCCCTCTCTTTCTGTCCCAGCGCTCACCCCTCTTTATCTACTGGACGCATGGTCCCTCTCTTTCTGTCCCAGCGCTCACCCCTCTATCTACTGGACGCATGGTCCCTCTCTTTCTGTCCCAGCGCTCACCCCTCTTTATCTACTGGACGCATGGTCCCTCTCTTTCTGTCCCAGCGCTCACCCCTCTATCTACTGGACGTATGGCCCCTCTCTTTCTGTCCCAGCGCTCACCCCTCTATCTACTGGACGTATGGCCCCTCTCTTTCTGTCCCAGCGCTCACCCCTCTTTATCTACTGGACGCATGGTCCCTCTCTTTCTGTCCCAGCGCTCACCCCTCTTTAGATCTCCATCAGTATGAGCTCATCCCACCATAACACACTGCCTCGAGCCTCAGTCTTTCTATATACCACTTTTTTCTTTTATTGATTCTTTGTGGTTTTCATATCATGCATTCCAAGAAAAATACTGCTTTTATGGTTATCTTGATAAACAATTTTCAATACTTTCAGGTAGAAATATGTATTTCTTAGACTCATTCCCAAAACTGTTTAAAATTCTAGATTCATGTTTAAAAAGAAAAGTAAAGAAAAAACTTTGGAATACTGGATTTTGCAATGATTTCTTAGCTATGACATCAAACTCATGTTCAATAAAAGTAAAACACAGACAGAGGCCCCGTTCAGCTGGAAAAAGTCTTTGAAGCAAAGAAAACAATAAATGGGTTTGAGATGACAACCTAAGTCATGGGAAAGTCACATATATGATAAGCAGTTTATATGTACACTTATAAGACACTTGTATAATTCAATGAAAAAACGAAAATACCTACATATTAAAAATGAGCAAAGGACATGAAAAACAATTAGCTATGGAAGATACCAAACGACCACCCAAAAAATTAAATGTTGCTAACAACAAGAACGTGGCGCCATTATGGTAGGAAAGTCAAATGATGTTTCTCATTAGAGAAACCGTAGGGGCATTGCTCACATGACAAGGCTGTCCTGCCTCTGGGCATTTATCAGGGCCCTTGAGCAAGGCCTCAAGGAGGTATCTGTAGCCCCACCTTCTCCACAGCTTCAGGTGCAATGGATCAGAAGTGGAAGTGGCCCAAATGTCCAGTCCATCAGAAGATGAAGGAAGAAAGAACCAGAAGAGACCACAAACGCAAGGATCTACTGTACCGGTCAGGAGTGAAAGGAATTCCCACACTGTGGCAACACAGAGGACGCTGTACTAAATAAAACCCCCCAGATAAACACACACACACACACACACACACACACACACACACACACACTACCATATCATCTCACTTACTGTACAATGTTAGAAAAGTCAAGCTCACAGGAACAAAGTAGACAGGGGCTGCCTAGAACTTAAGTGGAGAGGGTAGAGCATCCCCCGGCTACAAAGTTTCTGTTTTGCAATGTGGAAAAGTTCCATGGTATACTGCAGAAAATGCAACCATACTTTAAAACCCCTGAACTGAATAATTAAAAATGTTTGAAATGATACATTTAGGGTCATGCATTTTAACACAACAAAAATGATAAAGAATTAGTACTTACCACTTTTCTCCACAAACTGTAACAGTTTTAGAAATAAAACATTAAAAATGAAAATAAAATCTGGGCTCCTCTTACACAACAACATATGCCCCATGTTCCTGTTGCATCCTAAGCCAATCATCCCCTAGGAACAATGAGACAGCAAAGGAAATTCCACTTTGTGCTCCTGAACTCTTGCTTTGCACTTGAAAGGGCCCTCACAGAACCCCTTAATCCTGCCCCCTCACAGAACCCCTTAATCCTGCCCCCTCACAGAACCCCTTAATCCTGCCCCCTCACAGAACCCCTTAATCCTGCCCCCTCACAGAACCCCTTAATCCTGCCCCCTCACAGAACCCCTTAATCCTGCCCCCTCACAGAACCCCTTAATCCTGCCCCCTCACAGAACCCCTTAATCCTGCCCCCTCACAGAACCCCTTAATCCTGCCCCCTCACAGAACCCCTTAATCCTGCCCCCTCACAGAACCCCTTAATCCTGCCCCCTCACAGAACCCCTTAATCCTGCCCCCTCACAGAACCCCTTAATCCTGCCCCCTCACAGAACCCCTTAATCCTGCCCCCTCACAGAACCCCTTAATCCTGCCCCCTCACAGAACCCCTTAATCCTGCCTCTTCAAATGGCAAGCTCGCAAGGGACAACTGCAAACTCGGAGCAAAGACACCATTACTAGTAGGCATATTCGCATGACAACTTAATAAACACAAAACTGTTCCGATTTTAGGGGGAAAGGTTGCCATTTCCATGTTACGGCTAGTCGCTCACATCGAGAAGGAACTCTCTTTACCTAGGGCTTCCTTCTGCAGATCATAGCACCTGGCTTGCAAGCTTACTTCGTGCTGTTTGGACGCCTGCATCTCCTGAGACCTCAAGATGGCTGCGTCCGACAACAGTTTGAGATCTTTCATTTCCTCTTCCAGGCACACCTTATTTCTCTGGGAAACGGTCAGACTTTTATTTAACATATCAATTTCTGTAAAGAAAATTTAAAAAGTTTATACACAGAAGACATTAAACCACAATCCTCTCAAAACTGATTTTCTTTTCGAAAATTAATATGTGAGAAGAAGATGACTTTTCTGAGAGCATGACACTTAGCCAAAGTTAGATTTAAACATTCTAGCAATTCTGAAAATGGGAAAATGGCCTGGATCGCTAAATGTTGTACTTTTTTTTAGCCTTAAATCATACTAAATAGTAATATAGACTGCTTTTACATTCTCATATAAATATGAAAAGTATAATTCCTGTGGAGGGTTCTGGGTTTTGTTGAAACTGTGAGACCAAGGAGAGTAAGTGTGGATGTGTAGCACGACCTGGTGGGTAGCGTTTCTAACAGCTACTGGCTGCATTCTAAGCGGTAAGAGTGGAAAGGACCTAAAGGATGGAGCATCTAAAACCAGCAAGCTTGTGGGTAGAAAGTATTTAACAGTTACCAAATCTATTTTAATGATTCTAATGGTACTGTTCCCTAGAGTGAAACCAGAACATATTGTAGTAATTCAATGTCATTACCCTCCTGCCATTTAATCTTTAAATGGCTTTACAGTTCTACTTAGAGTCCATATCCTTTCTTGTAAAATGCACAGAGCACATCACCCATCAAAATAATTATCAAGTTTACCCTTCACCAATGTTCTCAGCACTGCCAACAGAAGCTATCACTAAGGTAACAAAACACACAGTAAAAATATTGTTATTTGTACAAGTCAGCTAATGATATTAATGAGGGTGTGGTTTATGAGACACTCAACGGTTTTCTAGGAAGATTACCTGGCACTGCCTTCTTTGGCTAGCCCCTCTCCTAAGCTGTGTGCTGAGTTCAGGTGTGCGTGGGTATCTCAACATGTTGGCTTGGTTTATTGCTCTACCACATCTGCACACGCAGGAAAGGTCAAAGTAGAGATCCAAAGGACAGATGTGGGAGCAGGCAATTTGGCCAGCAGCTGGCGGCAGCAGGGCATAGGAAAGAGAGATTTCCTAAATGATGGTGTAGAGCACAACTGAATGTAGTCCAGCCAGGCTGATGGTGCACAACGTTAATCCAACACTTGAGAGGGCAGAGTAGGCACACATTTGGGAGTTCAAGACCAGCCTGGTCTGCAGACCAAGTTCCAAGTCAATGAGAGGGACATAGTGAGGTTGGAGAGCAAGAGTGAGAGGGGAAGAAAGAGAGAGAGAGAGAGAGAGAGAGAGAGAGAGAGCAACAGCCAGAGGCGAGGGAGCTCAAGAATGTGAATGAGAAAGAGCAGGGGACATGGTTCAAGGAGAGCAAAGGAAAGACCCTACCTGGATAAGAAACTTTTTCCAGGAAGGAAAAAGTGGCATTAAACACTAACCTGGGCCTTGAGAAGAGGCCCTGGTACCTTTTCTCTTTTAGTTTCTTTTCAACTTGCAAATGGAAAACCTGGAGAGATAAATAAATGGCAGGGACCAAATGCATGTTTCTCCCATGGTCCAGTAGCTACCTTTTATGGCATCTCCCCCACTGAGAATAGCTAATAGGCTTCTAAAACTGCGTGACTATGAGCCCGTTTCTGCGAGCAGGATGACCAGCACACTAATAGAGAAAGCTTTCGAAAACAAGGCAGCTTAACAGAGGGAGAGAAAGGAAAATGCTTCCTGGGTAGTTTTGCAGCCGCAAAGGCTGCTTTTTACAGCTGAATCCACTGTCCCGTACTGTAACATCTGCCCGTGGTCAAGTCAGAACGACACTGCCGAGTAGGTCACGCATGCTGGCACCCACTTCTCATTTGCCAAAGTGACTCTGTTGGCTGGTTCTGTGAGTGAGCGCTGTCATCTCTAAAATAACTGTCAGTGTGACTTTCTATCTGACATTAAGAGGCTGAATCTGCAACACAGGTTGATTTGTAAAATAGCGTGTGGGAAGTACGGCAAGATTTCCAAACTAATGGGGATGAAAACATTTCCAACGTGGCCTCAGGAAATTAGACTCAGGGGAGGTGGACTGACTCGAGCTCCTCTCCCAACAGCTCACGGTGCCAACACGCAGTCCTATATTTTGCCATTATATCATTTCACCCTTGTCAGTTATCATCCCGATCTGGGGTTCAGAATTATGATCCCTACCAGGTCAGTCTACACTGGTTACTGGACTGCAACCAACTTGAGATTTTCTGTTTCTGCGCACCCCTCAGGCATCATCCCATCCTCACACGCGTGGCTTGCCATAGCTCATAAAGGATCCCATCACGGAAGTCTTTCCTGAGCTAACCTAGATGCTGCACTCCAATTTGCATTCTTACTTTGCATGGATCACATACAGGCATACAACCTAGTGTTAGACTGGAGGTTAACGTAGACCAGGGACAACAACCCGTGTATTCCCCTCTGGTTTCCACCATCACGGTTTATACATCATAGGAGCTGTTATGTGTGCAGTCTTCTGAGTAGACCTTCTAAATGGTCCCTAATATGCCAGTATTTGAACATGCTGAATAAGGGTTTGCTTCCGTTTCATTTCAGAGGCAGGCATTTTGAGTTGGACATGCTTCATATGGCAGACTAAGTTAAACAATTAAAACATACACCCTCCAAAAATGTTAGCAATCTAAATTAATAGGCATAATCTAATCTAATATGCCTATTCCATTCTTAATTTCATCAAGTTTTATTAAAACTGTGAACTCTAACGTAATTTCATACTTGATTTCTAAAAGGTCAAGAGATATGCTGGGTGGTGGTGGCACACGCCTTTAATCCCAGCACTTGGGAAACAGAGGCAGGCGGATCTTTGTGAGTTCGAGGCCAGCCTGGTCTACAAGAGCTAGTTCCAGGACAGCCAGGGCTACACAGAGAAACTCTGTCTTGAAAAAAAAACAGAAGACAGCGAGAGAAAGAGAAAGAGGAAGAGAGAGAGAGAGAGAGAGAGAGAGAGAGAGTTACTGACAGGGAAGTTGCAGCTTGGTGAGGGATGCATGCCTTTGTGAGACCCTGGGTCTGATTTTTAGCACTAAACACCAACAAAATTCATTATCTAAAGAAAGTATGAGAATACAAAGTCAGTTGTTGGTTTTGTTTTTGTTTTTTTAAACTGTATTAACGTTTATTTCTGTCTTTGTAGCCCCAAGCTTAGCCAAGTGAATGTACAATTACATTGTGTCATTATGCTATTACAAGAACTTTATAACCTTATTACTAGGGAATTCCAATGTTCATTCACTGTGTGACCATTAATTTACATAACTTTAATTTTATTACAATAGGACAGACCTTTAAAAACTAAAGTTATTAAATGAAGGAATCAAAAACCATTACATTGGATTTAAAAACCCTTTTATTTTGAAATAGTTTACAGAAAGTTAAAAATATATTTATAGAGAAGGTCCATTCCCCCTCACTCTACTAGCCAGAGAAGCACGTTAGATTTAACCAGCTGCGCACAAACTCTGCGTGTGATGCTTGTTCTAGGAGACTTTAACACACACACACAGCATTCCCGCTTGCTCTGTGTTGCTGTGATAGACACCCTAGCAGAAAGCAACTGGGAAAGGAAAAGGTTTATTTCAGCTTACAGTTTACAACCCATCAGAAGGGGAAACCCAGAAAGGAACTCAAAGACAAATCTGGAGACCGTAGCTGAAGCAGAGGTCATGCAGGAATGCTTTTTACTGGCTTGGTCCTCATGACTTGCTCACCCTGCTTTCTTATACAACCCAGGGCCACTGGCCTAGGAGTGACAGAGCCCATAGTAGGCTGCACCCCCATGGTCAAAATATGAGGTTGTTTATCACCAAATTCCAACCTGGTGTCCGCAGTCAGCTCATCCTCTAGCCCAGCAGTGCCAATCCCCAGCAATTGCTCATCTCCCTTACACCTACAATGGCTTCATGTCAAGACTGCTATATAAATGGAAGAATAAATGATTTTGAAATTGAACCACTTTCTGAATGGATTTAAACCCAATCCACAGGATAGAATTCATGCATGGTACCATTAAGAGAGCCAAAAACCCACGGGTGGCTAATTACACACCCTAAGAAGAAGCTCCAACTACTATTCTGCGAAATGGATGCAGAAATAAACTGGATCCTAAGCTCTATGTGCCATCTCTCAACCCTCATCAGAGAAGCTTCTTTCTTCAGGAGATGGTGATTTGTACAGAGACCCAATCTGGTCAATGTGCAGAGACTAAGAGACTACAGAGTGCTCGGCTCTAAGTGGGGCATCTGTATCTTTGTTCCTCTCCCAAAGGCTCAGGAATCATAACAGAAGGGGAGGTGGAAAAAGATGAGAGCTAGAGAGATTTGCCAGCCACAGCAAGGCCTCTGTACACACGAATTCACAGTTAGTGACTACACACACAAGATCAAGTCGGACAAAATCCCAGCATGAAGGGAGAGGAGCGCAGGAAGCCCCATCCTACTGGGGAGCTACTGACAACTGCTGGTCCTTGTGGGAGAGAGAGTCAGCTTACATAGGGATTTGGCCTGAGAGGCTGCCCATGCTCCAGAAGATGGTCCCATGCCCATGCACACACAGGCAGCACTAAGTGAATTCAGAGACTTTTTAAAAGATCACCTGAAGTTGGGAAAGGGAGGTGGTGAGGAGGGTAGGGCTGGAGGGGAGAGTTGATCAAAACCCACTATGTTAGTTATGAAGTTCTCAAACAATAAAAAGGAAAATTCTGTGAAAGGATTATGAAATTGGCATTTTTTAAACCTAAAAAAATTTCCTGGATATTCATTCAAGTTGTTGCATGTAAAAGTAATCCTTCCCTTTTCATTGCTGATTTGGGTGTTTGTTTCTCACCCATGGCTATGTTTCAGTTCCTAGCTGAGTTCCTGCCTTGAGTTCCTTCCCTCTATAAGGGTCATGAGCTAGCGGATGAAATAAGGCCTTTCCTCTCCACGATGCTTTGGTCATGGCATTTATCACAGCACCAGAGAACAAACTAAGACAACTGTCACTTCTACGTTGTCTACAGCTACTTCTGTCCAGTCATGCTGGCTATAATCAACTTCTAAGTTTTGGTTAATATTGATATTTTCACATGAATCCTGAATGCTCTTAATGCATCTCTGTGGCGAATCCTAATGACAGTGTTTATTCTTAATGACATCTATAGTAGGGAATCATTTCCAGAGGTTTTCAATTTACTATGTCTGGAGAAATCAGAGAAATCACTGTCTTTGATAATGATAAGCATAAATTTTATAGACAGCAAGATCTGAAGTCAAATGGCTCCCTGATCCATAGGCTGTAAACTGGCTGGTGCCAGTTTAACAGACACGAAAACATTACTAATCTCATCAAATTCCATTAGAGTTCTTGGGTGAAGTAGTATTTTGAAAGGAATTTGTTTGTTTTTCCTTTGAGACTATATCTCACCATGCTACCCAAGATAGCCTTGAATTCCATGAATAAGTTACCCCCTAAGCCTTTATGGAGTTGGAGTGGGAGGCATGCACCCTCAGGCTGAGGTCATTTTACTGAGCAATAGCTATCAACAGCAGCACATTGTAAACAGATACGCTGCCATCCGGGCTTTGTTGTTCCATTTACAGAGAACGGGCAAGGCCGATTTCACAGGACTCTCAGAGTCCCAGGATTTGGGGGATGACAGATGAAAAGGGGGCTTCCATGTCAAGTCAGCTTTTACTGGCGCCTACCAAGACAGTCTGTCTGTCCTTTGAACCTTTGTAGCCAGGCAATGACTTCTCTATGAAAAGTCCTAAATGGAGTCCTTTTCTAGCATAAAGCTGTTTCATGGCGTGCCCTTAGCCAAGGCAGGGACATTTTATAGACCTCAGGCGAGCAGTGATGTCCTGCCAGCCAGGAGCTGGGACTGTGCCCAAGTATGGTCAAAAGCTAGGTCCCTGGGTGGGCACTTGGGTGCCATTTCTTTGTTCAGAGTTTTCTCGGCAAAGGCAGGGTTGGAGGAAATAGGGTAGATTTGTTCACGATCGAGCTAGAAGCTTCAACCGAACAGACATGGGAATGAACAGAGAGTGAACAGACACAGGAATGGCCATTTTTGTTCTGAAAACTAACAGTGAGAACACACAGCTTCTTATATATGTGGCATATAGTGTCCCAAAACAGTTCTGATAGTAACACTGAAGGTGGCTGTGTGTAGAAAATAAAATAATAAAAAAAGTAAGAATTGCCAGAATGTGCCCAGCGGTAGTGGCACACGCCTTTAATCCCAGCACTTGTGAGGCAGAGGCAGGCGGATCTCTGTAAGTTCGAGGCCAGCCTGGTCTACAAGAGCTAGCTAGTTCTAGGACAGGCTCCAAAGCTACAGAGAAACACTGTCTCGAAAAAACAAACAGAATTACCAAAACGTGACAGAATGTGTGCTTACTAAAGTAGTATGTGTCATTAGAAAAGCAACCTAGAGAGACTTGTCCAATAAGGGTGCCACAAACCTTCCATTGATAAAAATGGTCTGCAAAGCACAATAAAGAGAACAAAGAAGAATTGTGCCTTCGCACACATCATCTGGTGCAATTTAAGTTTGCTCCAAATTTACTGCTTTATTTGGGGGAACATGGACCATATTTTTAATATTTTTTTTCCAGGTTAAGAATTTTGGGCCAGGCAGTGGTGGCACACATCTTTAATCCCAGCACTCGGGAGTCAGAGGCAGGAGGAGCTCTGTGTTCGAGGCCAGGCTGGTCTACAGAGTGAGTTCCAGTACAGCCTAGGTTACACAAAGAAACCCAAAAATCAACCAACAACAACAATAAAAATCAACCAACAACAACAAAAAGAAAGAAAGAAAGAAAGAAAGAAAGAAAGAAAGAAAGAAGTTTTCGATTGTGTACTAAACACTGGTACAATATGAAGACTGGGCTCTATTATGTTGCCTCTGAAAAGTATTAAGGGGGCCAGAGAAATGGCTCGGTAGTTAAGAGCATTGACTGCTCTTTCAGAGGACCCAGATGTGATTCCCAGCACCCACACGGTGGCTCACAACTGTCTGCAGCTGCAGCTTCTGGACCTGAGACGCCAACTCTTGGCCCCAAGCGCACAGATAAACACAGAGTAAAACTTTCAGGAACAGTAATTAAAAAAAAATAAATTTTAAGGAGCATTTGTTTGTTTGTTTCTGCTCTGGTTTAAGGAGCAGTTAATTTAGCTAAACCCAAACTATAAAATCTATTCCCCAAGGGAAGGTGTTAAAGTGTCTATGGCTTCAGTCTCAGGCAGGCTGCTCAGTCTTCCTTGCGCACAGGAGCTCCAGAGAGCTGGAAAGTATTTCCATGCAGAAGCTGATCTCCCTCACTGGCTCTGTGCCTGGCCATTCCCAGAGGCTGCGTCTGCCTTGCCCACTGTCCTCACATCTTCAGGATTAAAAGAACATATTTTTTCTTTCATAACTTTTACTTCTATGTAGAATAAACTATATCCTGACCCCAGTCTACTGGCCTTTCAAAAATAAAAATAGAAAGAAATTCGCCAAGTTCCATACTCCTTTTCAATATTGAAAATAACCTTAAGCCTCTTTAAAGTTTAGTGAAAGTGAGGAAAAAGCAGAGCTGTTACACAACCTCCCCCTCCCCCAGCCTCCCTTCCCAGTGACACCCCGCACCATGCTGCATCTGGTCAAGACAAACCGCGTACCATATTATTAGCCAGAGACCACATCTGCAGCAAGTGCACATAATGATCTGGATGCATCACTGCAACACCCTGGAGAGTAATGTCCACATCTCAAAGTTCCTCTGGGTGTCCTGTGTTTATCCGCCCTTGCCCCCAGCTGTCAGTCAGGTTTACTGTTCTCTAGTTCTCCCTGTCCGACAGCTCACACAGATGTAGCACATCATGCTGCCTGTTCAGACTGCCGCCTTCCACTGCGTAAACACCTTATTTCAGTCTTTCACACTTCCGTCTTTATGTGCTCAGTTTTGGTCTCTCTGCAATGTTGAGTATTTTTGTTCAGCATTTATAATTATTTGGGGGAAGCTGGTCTTATACCACTACTCAACCACTGAGATGAAGAGAAAACTGTTAGACAAATCTAGAAGCTTAACAAGAGGAATCAGACTTTTAACCACAGCTGTAAAATGGATGCAGTGTAGCTTAGGTTAGATGAGCAGATAATTGTGGAACTCCAGGTATAAATGGACCTTAATGTTTCTCTACAGTGTCAACTAGTAACAAAAGTGGACCTGAGTCCCAACACACAGAAAATCCTATGATTGCATAGCTATGATGTAGCAGTTAGAGACAAGCAAGTAGGCTGTAAATACATGTAACAAACCTGCCAAGGCTGCGTCACTCAGAGATTTCATCTGCAGAAAAACTTCCCCTTTCAGCGAAGTCCAGTTTTGAAAATTATCACATACTTCATGTTTAATACTGGTTAGTTCCCTTTTAGTAAAAGTAAGTAACAAAAGGGTCTTATTCCAGAAGTATCTGTATTCTGACAATCTTTGACTGCAATTAGTAAAACAAAAATTAGCATTTTTAAACACAGAAAACATAAAAACACACATTTCTTCAAAAGCGATCATATAATCCATTGTTTAATGGAAACAGTTTTGAAAGCAAAAGGAAGCCTTCAACATATCACACACAGACAACAGATGCACTCTGAGAATAGTGACGGTACACTGATAAATACAGCAAGGCCAAATGTCTTCTCTTTTGTTATTTTAGCTACAAAGAGGACAGACAGCCTCACATGCAGTAGTCTAGACACGGGCCAAGGCTGCCGCAGGAGCCAAGCACCTGGTGGTAATCAGGTTGCCTGGTGCTGTTAATCTGCGAGTCCACTACCGGCTTTCTTGAAATGGGCCAAGGAAGATTGTAATGGTAAAAATGTTCATCTGGGAGTGGGGCTGGAGCCATGGATAAGTAGTTAGGAGGACTGGCTGTTCTTCTGAAGACCCAGGTTCGATCTCCGGCATCCACATGATAGCTCACGATCAGCTATGAGTCCTGTCCCGGGGGTTACAACACCTCTGGAGAAACTGCATGCGTGTGGTGCACGGACACTGATGCAGGCAAAACCACACACACACACGCACACACACACACAAACGTACACACACACACACATACACACACACACACACATACACACATACATACACACACACGCACACACACACACACACACAAACGTACACACACACACACATACACACACACACATACACACACACACATACACACACGCACACACACACACACATACACACACACACATACACACACACACATACACACACACACACACGCACACACACACACACACACGGGGGCGGGGGAAGGTGTGAGCAGATTTCCTTCATGCATCCATTCAACAATTCTTTACTATCAGCTATACAGAAGCTATCTGTGAAAGGCAGAGCCGGGGCCAGCAGACTTATCAACAGATGCATCAAAAGCTCATGAGCGCAGAGGATTTTTAACAAAAAGTTTGTGGTATGAAGGAGTGGATTAAAACAAAACCTAACATCCAAATGCTCATGCAGCATATCTTCTAGTTATCTTGAACCCTAGAAGCATTCTCAATGTACTCTAGGACATGTGTCTCCAGTGTTGTTTGTTTGCTTGGTGCTTTTTTTTTTTTTTTTTTTTTTTGGTTTTTCGAGACAGGGTTTCTCTATGGCTTTGGAGCCTGTCCTAGAACTAGCTCTGTAGACCAGGCTGGTCTCGAACTCACAGAGATCCGCCTGCCTCTGCCTCCTGAGTGCTGGGATTAAAGGTGTGAGCCACCACCGCCCGGCTTGCTTGGTGCATTTTATCTTTATGGATTATAAACCTTGCAGTGAGTCTATGGGAGGAGATTAACATTTGCGCTAGAGAATTCCAAATTTCAGGGTCTGTATTATCACAGAGAAAGGTTTTCTGCTCCAACAGATTAACTGGAGGGGAAGCTCAGCAGTACAGGGCTTGCCTCACAGGTGTCCTCAGCTCAGATCCCCAGCACTCCTGAGGGCGCATGCCTACAAACCCAGCGTAGAGTGGGCGGGTGTGAAGATGCCTGGAGCTTGCAGGTCAGCCAGGCTGGACAAATTAGTAAGCTCCAGCTCTAGTCAGAGAACCTGTCTCAAAAACTAACATGGAGAACGAGCGAGGAAGACACAACTGCACACGCGCACACATGCGCTCACGCACGCATGCAGACACGGACACAGACCGATCACCACACTCCACTTACACACACAAAAGACATTAGCGACTACACTTTCATTTCAGATATCACCACAGAGAAGGAACAGAAAGAAGCAAGGTAGTAACAGAAAATGCTGTTTGCTCAATGACATTTTACTAACAAAACAATTCAGTCGACATAAGGACAATAAAAGAGTAAAACTATTTCTATTTTTCTCAAGATATTCATAAAGTCAGCATTTGCTGTATAATTTTAATATTTATAATTTTCAATTCTTAAAGATAATCTTACCTGAACACTTGGGATTGTTTTTGTTTAATTTTTAGCTCATTTTGTTGATGATCTAATTCTTTCTGTATTCTCTGAAATTCATTTTGCTGCTTTTTTAACTTCATACTTGCATCTTGAACTCTAAAAAATAAACAAGAGTACTGCATGCTTCAATATTTCCTAATAAATAACATTTTAAAATTAAAATTGAATATAATAATAATGAAATAAGTAGCCAAAGAAAACTACTCATCTTTATATATACTGTATTAAGAAATAACTGCATCCCTTTGGATAGCAGTATGGCAATTTCTCAGAAAATTAGGAAACAACCTTCCTCAAGACCCAGCAGTATCATCCAAAGCATCCAAAGGATGCTCAATTGTGTCACAAGGACATGTGCTTAACTCTGTTCATAGCAACATTGTTTGCCATAGCCAAAACCTGGAAACAACCTACATGCTACTTGACTGAAGAATGGATAAGGAAATGTGGTACATTTACACAATAGAGTACTACACAGCAGAAAAAAATAACATCTTAAAATTTGCAGGCAAATGGATGGATCTAGAAAACAACATATTGACTATGTAACCCAGATCCAGAAAGACAATTATCATATGCACTCACTAAAATCAATAATGTCATTGATTTTATAAAATCAATAAAAAATAATAAAGAAAGAAATAACTGGCCGGGCAGTGGTGGCACACACTTTTAATCCCAGCACTCAGGAGGCAGAGGCAGGTGGATCTCTGTGAGTTCAAGGCCAGCCTGGTCTAAAAGAGCTAGTTCCAGGACAGGCTCCAAAACTACAGAGAAACCCTTTCTTGAAAAAAACATGTAGATACCAAACCAAACAAGTTGTTATTCCAGATAAAAAGAGAAGTACTTATTATAGATGGGAAGTGAATACATAATACTAAGTAAAAATAGAAAAAGTTCATTTAATTTTAATAATTGTAGCATGATTAATTAAAACCCAGAGACAGAAATTGGGGTTCAACCTGAAGGTCAGAAAAGCAAAACAGCCAACCACTGGCTCTTCCCTCTACGTCAGTCTGAAATGGCCATCCTGCCTCCAGGAATCTCTGAGACTGTGTGTGAGAGCTGTCTCCTCTTGTCTTATATTCTTCTCTAGTTCTGGGATTAAGGGCGTGCACCACTACTGCCCGGTTTGTGTGGCAAACTAGTGTGGCTACTGGGATTAAAGGTGTGTGTTACCACTTCCTGGTCTGTAAGGCTGATCAATGGGGCTGTTTTACTCTCTAAGCTACAGGCAAGCTTTATTTATTAAAATACAAATGAAATATCACTACAATTAATGATGTACCTAACTTAAAATGTTAAATATTATATTAATTATTATAAGAAAAAATAGTAAACATTTGTTTTTATCCCATTTCCCACTACCAAAGGCAACTGTTTTCAGTTTATCCTGTTACCTTTAGTATTGATTTCTGTGCTACTAAATAACATGCTTATATTATTTCTTAATATTTTAATTTAGATACAAACCAGTTAGAAATGGTTCTGCCACATATAACTAAGACTTGAACATCATCACACACACACACAGTTTCTCATGAAACATTCAGGGTTTACTGGCACAAACGCATAAGGAAGCTGAGACAGAAGGATCACGGCAAGTTTGAGGCTGAGTTATTTTCAACAGAGAATTTTAGCCCTGCCAGGACTACAGAGAAAGACCTTTCTTCAAGTAAAACATGATGATATCATAGTTTGTAATGTCTCAGGCAGCCGCAAACCTCCCCACTCGCTGGTCTACCATGTGGGAGTGTACACCTGACATCATGATTCATATCGGTGACAGAAGCTTCGGGCAGTACGTTCCCACATCTGATCAACAGAAGCAAGAGAACAAAGCTTTCAAAACCAATCCTATCAAAGGGCCCCGTGTTCGTCTGATAAGTTTAAACCACATTGCCACACTGAGCTTCAAGCCAAACTGGACGATGCAGTCCTTGAACTGGGAAAATTGATCTCCAGGGTTAGTAACAGTTCTGCTACAGAAGAAGTAGGAAGGAAAATTGACATTGTAGTCCAGCAGCAAGCAGAACCAAATCTTCCTAACATTGCTGGATACCCGCACCTGCCAACTGCCCCTGCCCCTGTTCCTCATCTTTCCAATGCTAATAATAAAATAGCAGTTTTATGACGTTATATTCAGAGTCCCATCATCGTCACACTGAACACACTCTATGCCAGATTGCATGCTTCCTTACTTCAGCATGAAACTAATATGCCTACACATTACCCTCCTGGCAAAGCACGGTGTCCACTCCTACTGTACACACCATTCTGTAAAACAATTCACAAGACGCAGTACAGTACGAACTGGGTAGGCACACAGCTTCCTCCAGCATGGATAGTTCTGCACAGAGTGGGAACACTATGCTGCTCTAAGGACATGATGTTGTCTAGTCAGAGAGTGTTCCTGAAGATGGAGACTAACAGCATATGCTGTTCTAATGGAGAGAACTCTCTTCTGGGAGATAGGTGACTGAGAGGCCTCTTGCCGAAGCAACCACGAGAACAAACACATTTATTACCATAGTCTAGTCTCCAGTTTTTCATCATCCTGATTAAACTGGATTGTTTGAGAATCACTGAGTTTGAAAACAAACAGGGGATTAACTCTCTTCTTGATTATTTTTATTTGGATTACCTATTAATATTGCTCATAATGAAGACAAGTGCAAGGGAAATACATTTAAATTCCCTTTCACTCTTTCCCACTCTGCAGTAAAGCACGTAAGAAATACAAGAAGGCTGGGCACAGCTTTGAGGATTTCACCACCCGTGGTCCACACATTATTTTTGTCAAACTTCTGGGTCTCAAGATTATTAAAGTCTTCCCATTCAACTGATTTTGCAGCAATCAAAAATGACAGACATAAGCTTGGAGCCAGAACAAAATGAAGTGGTGGGATCTTCAGGATCGCACGCTATCAAGGTCCCATGGGGAAAAGCTTCGGAAGATCAAGGGGGAAATTAGGAGAGCAATGAAGAAATTCATCAAAACAAGCTAGTCTCCAGCTCCTGGGAAACAAACTTCTGACGTGGGCATAAGCTGCCAATTATGGCTCCTGCAACTGTGCTTTTGGAATTAACCTGAACCCATTCACAAAATTAGATTAGCTCTCAAGAAAGCAGGAAGAGAGAGAGAGAGTGGAGGGCAGATATTATAGACAGATAAATCACTAAGGATTCAATAAAACTAGAAAGAAGTCTTATATTGCAGAGGAACCATAAGCACTCTGAGAAACTCTAGGGCAGAAACCAAATGCTTTTACTTATTATGTGGCCCTATTGCAACTTCCAAACCATCAGCAGGAGCAGGCACTGGCCAGAAGGACTCCAGCATTAAGCACGGAGAACAGAAGCAATATTTAGAACAACAATAAAAAAACACTTAGTTCCCTTTTGAATGTCAACTGCTTTCATTTAAAAACTTAACGTGGAACTCATATCATCCTACAGAATTCTTACTTACCAAAACGTATCCTTTGCTGAGGTGAATTCAGTATTAAAACACAATCATTATCCCATGTTACTAACATACTTTGTAGCACGAATACTAAAAGACCCAGAGACAGATATTGGGGTTCCTGCTGAAGATCAGAAAAGCAAAGCAGCCAAGCCACTAGAGGGATTTTACCTCTACCAAGACTCAGACAAAAAAACGGGGTGGTCCTGAATGCTCTCCGCCAACCTCAGACTCCATACTCCACTGAGTTCCTGTCTCTTCCCATTTATATTCCTCTTTGCCCAGCCATATTGTTCCTGTCTCCACCTCCCTAGTGCTGGGATTAAAGGTGTGGGATCCCGAGTGCTGGGATCACTTTTGTGTGAAGTCTGTTTCTCTTTTAGACAGATTCAATCTTGCCTAGCCCAGTGTAGCCTTGAATTTACAGAGATCCATCTGGTTCTGTCTCCCCAGTCCTGGAGTTAAAGGTGTGTGCTACCACTGCCTGGCCTGTATGGCTGACTAGTATGACTGTTTTGCCCTCTGATCTTCAGGCAAGCTTTATTTATTAAAACACGAATGATATACCACTGTAATACTAAGTGGACCCAACAACGTAGAAGAAAGGCATCTTGCAGTGGACCGAATCCACACTGCTTTTTAAGTTAACCTCATCTGAATAAAGTCACCTGGCCATTATTCTGTTTTTGACTATTCACTTATTTTTCCATGATCTCGTTAATAATATGTGGTTAGGCTATTGAAAGAATTGATTTTTCTTTAATTAAAAATATTTTTGCTAGGCTTATTAATGCAGAACAAATTTCAAAGTATTAACTGGAACTGGGCGGTGATGGCACATGCCTTTAGTCCCAGCACTTGGGAGGCAGAGGAGGCGGATCTCTGTGAGTTCAAGGCCAGTTTGGTCTACAGAGTGAGTTCCAGGACAGCCAAGGCTGTACAAAGGAACCCTGTCTCAAAAAAACAAACAAACAAAATATTAAATGTGACTTTAAAAATAACCATGAGACAGATAATTTCACACCAAAAAAATGAAGGCAAAATTGTTCATTGTAATTGTCTGAACGGTAAGAGGATGAATGGCAATTTGAGGACAAAATAAATCGCTACTCTGTTATTCTTAATAAAATTGGTCATATAAAATATTTATTCAAATATTGCTATTATTTTAGGGGAGAGCCAGGCCTCCTTTTCTGCAGTGTAGTCTATAGATTTGGCCAATCTCATATCAGACTATCTTTGTGGACTGTGGATACAGCCGAGGACCTGAGTAACTGGCTAGACAGGCCTTGGCTTAGATCCCCAACTCATAATGCCCACCTACCTGCCTGCCGGCTTGTCTGTCTATCTGTACGCATGTATGTATATTTCACGGGGATTGCACACAAAGATTTCCGAAGCCTGAGAAGTTCAAGGCTAAGTCCTGCTGAGCCTGGTGGTCTTTCCTGCTCATGGGGAGTCACTTCAGGGTCTCATGGTGAGAGTAGGAATGGGGAGGTGACAGAATGTCCTAGCTCAGGACTCTTCTCTGCTTCTGGTAAGACCAGGTCCCAGGAGCCCAACATTAGGGACCAACTTACTCTAATTACATCCTTAAAGTTTAGGCTAATTGCGTCACTTTCAAAACCAC